ACTTGCTAGCTAATGAATTTAATTGTTTATCCAAATTTGTCGCAAGATTGCAAATATTCTGTAAGTTGAATGAAAAATATAATGCAATCGGAGTTCCAAAATCCAAAGCCACTAGAGAAAGAGGAAAATTGTATGAAAATTGGATTAATATCCGAAAATCCACAAGGCTCTAGTACCTCCGATTAAATTATGAACATCACTGGTATAAACAAAGTGAACAATGAAGTAAAAAAGTAAACTCTTACGCAAATAACTCAAATTTGATACAGAAATGCTACTTAATCAAATCACGTATGTTTTAAACTTGAGTTCTACCTAACATGATGATGAAATGAAAATTATCATTATCAATATGCATAATAATGGTCAAGTTAGAGATTTCTATAAACATCAGTCAATCATTAGGGTTTCAAAGTGAGCTTAAATGTGTGTTTAACGATGAAAATCAAAGAAAATAAGCCATGGATTTTTAGCCTTACAGAAAGCAAGGTATCAAGACAAATAGTTATATGCTCGGTCTCTGGTGGAGCTGATTAGCGACGTTTTACCGTCGCCGGAGCAGATGTTGTGAACCTGAATGGCTTGAAGGTTTGTAGAGCAGAAGAGGTGTGACGCGACGCCCGGTGATACGTATGGGCTGGTATGTCCGGTGATCATATCAATACAATTCGATTAGATTTGGGTATCCCTCGGCAATTTAATAGTTAAATATTTGGAAATTACAAATAAAGCCAAAAAAAAAAATTAATGACTTAGTTAATTTTAGCCGAAATAAAGCCGAAAAAAGTTTAATGACTTAATCAATTTTAGCCGAAATAATTTGGGTTTTCATCAAATAATCTAGGCCATCAACAAATTTAGTTATATCGTTTGCAATTTTTTTTATGGACTGTGAAATCGTCTCATATCCATCCTAATATTATGTAAGTATAAAAAATGTGAGTTTTTATAATTTTTTATCCGCAATGCATTATTATTTTTCTGTATTTCATATAACTCAATCGATTCTTTCCTACAATGCATGTATTTAAGTATGTATTTAAGAAAATTACAAAAGTTAATTTATAGTATGTATTTAAGATTAGAAAACTTTTATTTTTCCCATTGAAGAATTCAATGGTCATTAAACTTCAAATTCATTGAATGTCAATGTGACATCTCATTATGATATAGTTTCATTTATTGAATGATAACTAGACTTATCACCTCATTCAACCCTCCTATTGAAATCACCATTGTAGATGCTCTAAGAGCCATCTACGATTTCCTCATGTCTAATCGGTAACTTTAGTAATTTGTTTATGTTCACAATAAAAGTCTGTCAATTTGATTATGATTACGTACATTTTAACTATGATTTTTGAAATGTTGATTATGATTTTGTAAATTTCACTAGTTTTTCTATAAAGTTAGAGAATAAAAACTATTAACCACAACATCAATATCAATGTTATTGTCATTGTATTTTTCTATTATATTTGTACTAAAATAGTATGAGTTATAGTGACTATTTTGTTTTAGTTGTAAGTGTAGGAGTATTAGGGTTTATGTTTGGCATCTGGATACCCCTTGGATTGTCTGAATACTTTCCGAATTGATATTTCTACCATATAATCCAAGAGGACACTTACAAATCTAGGCATATAAATCGCAAGCCAAATTGTTAGAAGGATTTTATGTTCGTCTGAAGAAGAAAAGAGCTAATGATTTTCGTCTGTTACTTCTTAAAGAGAATAGTCCCCCATTTTAGCAAGTAAGTCATGGAAATCCGAATTTTAATGAGGATTTAAGGTTTCCAAAACTAACGAGTTTCGTTAGTTTTACCATAATCACCTTCAATAATTTGACTTTTCCACTATTTTCTTATATGTAAAATCCAGAGACCTTTTGGGGCGCTGCCTCTCGAACCTGCCCACTAACCTAGCAGTGGGACCCCAGCCAGGGGCTCTGTCCCTTGGACCCCGCTAGAGGCGCTGCCACTATGGAAACCCCGGACCCCCGACGACCGAGCGAATAACTATTTGTCTTAAAACCTCGGACCGTCGACGACCATGTGTGCACTCTACACAACCCCATACATATATTAGAGTGCAAATTATGAATCCCATTAGCTCACATGTTAGTTCCAATTACATAAAATGACATGGTGACACTAAAAATCACCAACAATCCTCCCCCATTTTAGTGTAACCCTTAAACAAACATAACCTTATCAAAACAGACCAAACTAGTACATAATGAAAATATCGAGACAATTGAAATGCGGCTACACTTCACAATCACGTAGGTAACTCCTTTCCATGTATTTGTACATACATTTATCAAATGAGTTATTAAGAAGTTAAAATTCAACCTGGCTAACTTGCAGAACCGAACACATACCTGTGATGAATACTTCATGTGTTCCAATCTATAAGTGCGAGCTTTCCACATTGAATTCAACTCCTAACATTATATTAGGATGGAATTGGGTGTCTCACCATTACATAATTAAATGGACTTTAATCTTATCCCGATTACAAACTTGTGCACTAAGTCTTTTGTCAAACCTTTAGTCAAGTGATCTGCCAAATTTTGTTGTGATTTCATAAACTCAACCGAAATCACACCGTTCAAGATCAGTTCTCATTTTGAGTTACATTTAAAAAGTTTAAGTTTATCATGATTTTTATGAGTGTTACGATATTAAGATTAATCATTTTATTTAACGAGTTTACACCTTCAATATAATGTTTGTCCCATTTTACGAATATACACATATCGACACTCTGATATAAGTCGAACGAACACAATCACATTGCAAATCTTAATTTTTATTGTCTTATTCTCAATATCTTCTACGCATACAAGATCTTAAACATATTCCAAATCTTCAACACTTTACAATCAATTTTATACCTAAAAACATCACACTACATTTACTAATTTGCTTACGAAATTAGTTTACCATTTTTAAGCAAAACATCAACTACATATTAAAATATTCAAAACATATATATTATTCTTCTAAATCTAAATTCCATAGCCCCAATTCCATAAACACAATTACTTGTCATTCTACACATGTTATTAACATTCATTAACTTCAAGATTCTCATTATATGCATTTTATACTTGTATTTAACATTCAAGAACTTCATACATTATATAATTTGTAATAATTTATTTGGAATTAGGTTATTAAAAGCCATCTACACACATACACCTTCCTTGTCTCCATTCTCAGAGACCTAATGAAACTTGATTTCTATCATAACTTATCAAGTTAATTTTTTTTTTTATTATAACATCTTAAAATATTTAAATTTTTTGAATGTTATAGACACTAGCCTAAATTGTTAGTAAGTGTACAAAAAATATTTTTGATAGTTTTTTGTTCACAAACCAAATATCATCACCCTTCTAATTCAAGTCATTATCTGTAAACAAAAAATTTATGGTTTTGTATCGAGGATATAACTTATTTATGTCTCCATCTATCACTTTTTGAAAATATTAGTGTGGTATAGTACCGTTAATGGTGATTATGATTCAGTTACCAAGACATGTTGAAAATAATCTAGTTTGCTAAGCAATAAAATAAAAGATAGTTAGGCATGAAACCTTCATCTAACATTAAGTAAATTCATGGCATAATAGCTTTCCAAAAAAGAGACGCAAGAGTTTCTATGCATGTTTTTTTCTCGTAAAATATTAACGATGTAAAGAATCCCATCTACCATAAATTTTACATTTTTAGATTAACTGATACCTGACTATTGAAAAACATTAGTAAAAAATAATACATGTTCAAATTTCAAAGCAAAATAATTCCTTAATAATCTCTTTAAATCTTATCCACAAATAAAAGAATGCTATAAACAAACATTATAAAAAGTGATGTTTTCTATCAAATGAATAAAAGTGTACCTAGGCGGAAGGGTATACTCCTAAAACTAAGGAATGTAAAGAGCTTTCAGGTTAGCAAACAACATCACCATAAACCAACATTGTGGTCGCTAATATACTTCCAACGAAGAAAAAGAGAGGAAGAAGGTTGCAAGAGGAAAGAAAGGAGAAGAAGAGAGAAGAATAAAGATGATTGAATATGTCGTGTCTTGTGTCACATCCCACAAATCACCACTACTATGACATCAGAGACGGTGTGCACGATCGTAACCACAATGCGACCTGGCCACGAGATGCTCGTGGCTTGTATGCCCAAGGGCCTTATAACAAGTCTTAAACACATGATTAGATCATCCACAATTATAATATTCTAGTTAATAGATACTTTTTAAGGTTACCTCAAACAAAAACATAAAGTTTAACCATTCAAAGTAATAAATTTATCATCGATTGTGGTATTGTTGAAGAAGTTATTTGCTAGACGACTATAAGTTTCTTTTTAAAGATCATTGCTACGTTCGTTATTTTGTAATGATATCTTAATCACGTATTGCTTAATATCATATGCTATTATCTTGATTAATAATTGTGTTGAGGTGTTATTTAGAAATCATTTTGTAAGTAAAATTTTAATTAATTTTTATAACGAAGTTGAAATATTGTCAAACATAAATTGATATGATATGAAGTTGTAACAAAATTGTATGTAACAAATTTGGATATTAGAAAAAAGCTCTTAAAATTATAGAAATTTTAATGTCTTACATTAAATAAAATATGTTTTTTTTTTTTTTTTTTTTTTTTTTTTTTCGGTTTCACCCTATAATTTTCATACAAATTATTACATCTACCTTTATTTTTTTTCTTCTTCCAATATCCTTAGCAAAATTTTCAATTTTAAATAAATTTAATATAAAAGAATAATCGTACAAAATTATTTTAAAAAAAAAAAAATACATAATAACTCATTTTGACAAAATAATGAAAATGTATTAGATATTTTTGTCCACAGCGAATAGTAACTGCAATTTTCAAAATGAAAGCCACGTATATAATTCCGCTCAAACTTTTCCCCTTTTTCTCTTTTAATCATATTTTCTACCCCATCGACCCACCAAACATACTGACTCAGACTCGGCCGTTGCCTGATTAAATAATTCACATATAAGTATTGACTCCGCGCCTCCCCAAAATCTTACAACCTAGGGTTTCACACCCTGTAATTTCTCTCATCAATTCTACTCCGCATTTGCATGAGTCCGATCTCATACTGCTCGTCGTTGCCGGTGTGTGCTCCTCTACAGTTTACACTCTCGGCGGCCGGAAATGTCGTCGCCGGCGGTCCCTCTTCCATCGTATACAGCCGCCGGTCAATCGGAGTCTCCAGATGTATCTACGGTACTATTAGATTAGTTAATGCGTGTAGTTACTTGCTTATCTGTTTTATTTTGGAAACGATTTTTTAATCAGACGAAAGTAGGAAAAATCTGTAGTTTGCTTAGTTTGTACTTGTGTGTTTGTTTCCGTGCAATCTACGGAAATGCTCTTGCCGATTCACGATATTAAGACTTGCTGCTTAAATTTGTAGCGACATTGTGTTGTAAATGCCGCAATGTTGTTAGAACCAGCTGCATTGGCGATGCAAAACGTTCGAAATGCTTAATTATGTTTGACAATTGGGTTTTGCAAGGAAGTGTTAGGCTACGCTATATCTTACACGCACACTTTGTAGTGTTCAGATTTTTATTGTATCTCTGTTAGTATTTCTAAAAAATTGTTCAATTTTGCTGAAGACAAATTTCTATCTATCTATGCCTTAAAACCATGCCCAGAGTTTCTTCTTGCTTTGCTAAATACCAGCGGTTCTTTAGAACTAGAAATGCTAAAGCAAATAGTCAGTAGTAAACTGTTAGCCATTGACCTATCAAAAAACGAGCCAACAACATAATTCTAGGAATATTTCAGAAGCTTCATTCACATAATCTGTCCAGCATCAACAAAATATATAACCGAATTTCCATTAGGTTAGTGGTTATAAGCAAAGATGAATGTTATAACTTATAATGTTTCATGATTAACATAGTTGATGGAATAAACTTGTTTGGGCAATAGAAGAGGCTGGTTGCATGAGAATATTTATTAAAGACACTTTACTGAAGTCAAGCGGTATTTCTAATGAGATTCAATAGGATATAGTGTGTATAGATTTATGCATGATTTTTTCCGAAGATACTTAAATGCATTTAAGTATAGTTCCATATCGAGCTAAATCCGGACGAAGCGTATAGGGACTTGAATTGTACAAACCTAATAGCATTATGAGTTATAAAAAGCCTTTAAGGTAAATGATAAAAATATCGATTTGTTTGAAAGTTTCATGTCAAAGTAAATGAGGTAGCTTTGTTGTACACAACACACACATGGTGATTCCAAAACCCCACTTGGGGATTACAAAGAAACCCATTGATTTCACTTTTTCTAAACTTTCTGTTCATATCACAACAATATCTCACCAAATCTTACCCAAAAAGGTATGCTCGCTTACGTCTTCAATAATATGCCTGAACCAACTCTTACACTTATAAATCTAGTTGTTGCTTTCCAAAAATTTCAGAGACAATGTACAAGAGCAACCATGATGCATTGCAATGATGTTCCCAACACCATGAGTGAACTTTTAGAAATAAATCCATTGAAATATTTATTCAATTGGACGAATCATCCTTCATGTCCACTCCTACATAGTTTTACTAATTACTATATGAATTCTTTATCACAATTCGGGACACTGAACTTGTATCTACATTGCTCAGATTGTGGGACTACAAGGAGCAGCTATTGCTCCTGAAGAAATTTCACTGGTTATCGAATCTTTCAAGAAGAAAGTTGATGCTGATCGTTGTGTTTATATCATGGTTAGTGTAATAACACTCCATAATGTTGTCATCATATGACAATATTCCTTTCCTAGTTTATCATAGAATCTTGATCATGATTCATGATCCTTTGATATGTTGTTATGTGTACAGAAAAGAATGGAAGAGAACAGGATTAAGTTGGCTGAAGTCACCAACAACCATTACAAGCTGTCAGTAGAAAGAAGAAACCTAAAGACTAGTGTTGCAGATCAAACTGTTGATTTATTAACAAAGAGACAAAAAGATGCCATTGATATGCAAAATGGTGTGAATGCAAACAATGATGATAGTGACAGCAGCAGCTCTCAAGAAGATGGACATGCTTCAGCCATTCTTTTAGGATCTAGCATTGCAGTAAAAAATGCTGTCCGACCTATCAAGCTTCCTGAAGTGGATAAATTACCTCCTTATACCACTTGGATTTTCTTGGATAGGTGATCTTGTTTGCTTAAATTCTATCACAATTTTTGTGAAATTTAAGCTGCTAATATTGTTAATTGTTTCTTTTTATGTGACTATGAATGATACAGAAATCAAAGAATGACAGAAGACCAGTCTGTGTTAGGTCGAAGGAGAATCTATTATGATCAAAATGGTGGTGAAGCTTTGATTTGTAGTGATAGTGAAGAGGAAGCAATTGATGAAGAAGAGGAAAAGAAAGAGTTTGTTGAGTCTGAAGATTACATCATCAGGTTCTTGTATCTCAAATTATTTACTCTTGTGATCCCCATCAACTCATCTTTTTTTATTTTTTATACCAACCCATGTTCATAATTTTAATTTTATTTTTTTTAATAATTTCAGAATGACCATTCAACAACTTGGCTCATCTGATGCTGTTTTGGATTTACTAGGACAACGGTTGTCCAGAAAACCTTCTGAACTCAAGGTAACAACTTTTTAATTATATGAAATTTAGGTGCAAATGTTTTGTTTGTTTGTTTTTTTTTTTTTTTACACACCAAGGAAATTTTTGATACAGGCAAGATATGAAGTTCTTGTTAATAGAGAGAATGCTGTTGAAGTCTCCAAACCAGGGAATGTGGAGTTTGATATGAGTTCATTGTTTGATAAAGATCTTGAAGCAGCATTAGACTCATTTGACAACCTATTTTGTCGCAGATGTCTTGTAAGCATTTTTATTTTTCATGTTTTCTTCTTGAATTTTGTGATCAATGTGTCACTCATGTATTTGGTTGCTATACATTACATGCTTTAATTAGATCTTCTTTTGTTTTGTTTTGTTTTTTTTTTTTATTTTTTTATTTTTCAGATATTTGACTGTAAATTACATGGATGCTCACAGGACCTTATATTTCCTGTAAGTTCATGTTATCTTACTCCTTCTATCAACCTGTCTCTAAACTTGAATTCCATACCTTTTTTTTTCATTGAATGACTAAATTGTCCTCACAAACACATCTTTTTTTAATTTCCGGTTTCTTGAATAAGTTTACAAACCAATCTGAATTCCATTCTAGGACATGTTTGGTTCATGGACTCCAACTGAATCCAAAGGAATTGGAATCTCGGATTCCATTCCGGGATGTGTTCAGTTGTCAAACCAACAAAACTGAATCCCAAAAGATTCCTTCAAAATCCATGTTTGAGAGATTTCATCATTCCTGGAGATGGGTGCTATACTTTTTTTTTTCATTAAAAGACTAAATTGTCCTCATAAACACATTAAAATACAAACACATTCTTCCCTTTTTACATTTTCGGGAATTTCTTGAATAAATTCACAAACCAATCTAAAAATAGCAAAAGAATGAATCGTATTGAATTCCATCTCATTTCTCGATCTTACCAACCAAACACCTAACTGATTACAATACCTTTAAATTCCATTTCCTTCCACAAACATTTAACTGTTTCTAGATATCATTAATGACCATAATAACCCTAACCTTTCTTTTCAGGTTGAAAAGCATTGTACTTCAAACCGTGTGGAAGAAGAGAAGGTGCCTTGTGGTCCCCACTGTTATCGCCAGGTAATCATCAATTTCATATAAACATTATCATGTACTACACATGCTCTTATACACTATATAAACTTTCAATCTTTAGATCCAAAAGATGGAGGGCATTTCAGTCACATCACCTAACAGCGAACAAAAAGCCACTCCAAAATCTTCAGATGGCAACGGTGTTCATAAATCAAGAAAAAAATCCAAAACTTTGTCTGTATTACAGAAGTTAAAATCTTCCAGGAGCGAAAACACTTCATCAAACACTAAAAACATGACTGAAAGCAGTGAATCAGAAACTAGACCCACTGTTCATGATGGGCATTCTAGTAAACGTGGGACCCGCCAAAGGAATAGCAAACGCATTGCTGATCATGTTATGGTTGCAATAAAGAAAAGACAGAAAAAACCCACTGCTTCCGATTCCGATTCCATTTCTGTTCCCAGTGGAAGCCTCGGCTCACATAAAGAAAATGAGGAAGCCAGTTCCTCGTCTTTGAAGGTGAAGTCTTTGAGTGGGAGAAGAGGTAGGCGAAAAGACTCATTTGCCCCTGCTGCTACTGGTGGTGGTGATAGATCGTCTTTTCAGGCGGAAGCTTCTGATTGCCCTTCCAAGGAGATCACCAGTAAACACAATGAGAAATGGAAGAAAGAAGAGTTTGTGGATGAGAGTGTTATGTGTAGACAAGAAGTAGAACAGATTGAATTCAAAAGCTGGAAAACAATTGAAAAGTCTCTTTTTGAAAAAGGGTTGGAGATTTTCGGAAGAAACAGGTTAGTAGTAGCACGCTAGTACTTTCCACTTTTTTTTTCATTATATATAATTAATAATTAATGATAATGTCCATTGATTTACATTATTAATTTATTATTGCAGCTGTTTAATAGCTAGGAATCTAATGAACAACATGAAGACATGTTCAGAGGTATTCTACGCCATGAATTCCTCAGAAAACAAGCTATCTTCTCAAGGGGGCGATGGCACATCTTCTCTAGGCGATGGATCCAGAATCGATTCTAACGAAAACATGGTCAGACATCAAATCATCAAATATATTATGATTACATTAATAATTGATGAAAAAAATATTAATTTTCTTTTATTTATTTATTTAAAATCAGGGTACGACGCTAAGAAGAAGATCAAGATTCTTACGCAGAAGAGGAAGAGTTCGTCGTTTAAAATATTCATGGAAATCTGCTGGATATCATTCAATGAGGAAAAGAATCTCTGATAAAAAAGAACTCCCTTGTCGCCAATATAACCCATGTGGTTGTCAAACTTCGTGTGGGAAAGAATGCTCTTGCCTTGTCAGCGGGACTTGCTGTGAAAAATACTGCGGGTAGGTTATACCTTATATGTAACTTTATTTATATAAATCTTTTTTTTTTTTATGATACGATGATATTATGTATAGATGTCCGAAAACATGCAAAAATCGTTTTAGAGGATGCCATTGTGCGAAAAGTCAATGTAGAAGTCGTCAATGCCCTTGCTTTGCTGCGGGTAGAGAATGTGATCCGGATGTGTGCAGAAACTGCTGGATCGGGTCAGTTTTTTCTACTGAATTAAAAGAGTTGATACTTTATTCATTTTGCTTACGTGGCATCCAATGTGGCAATACAAATACCAAATATAAAAACCCTAAATCAAGTTTAAACCTAAAAAATAAATTTTTTTTGGATTCTGCTTAATTTGATTTTGTAATTGTAGGTGTGGCGATGGGACTTTAGGGATTCCGGGGCAAAGAGGTGATAATTATGAATGTAGAAATATGAAGCTTCTTCTCAAACAACAACAGCGGGTAATTTAATTTAATTACATCATCTTTCTCCTTATCAAACTTAATTATTATACTTAGTTTGTGATTATTTTGACATATATCCTTTATTTTATTTAATTTACAGGTTTTATTAGGAAGGTCTGATGTCTCAGGCTGGGGAGCCTTTTTAAAGGTAAGCTGCAGGAGGAGGACTATATGTTTATATATTAGTTTTGTTGAAGCAACTAATAATAATAATAATAATTTTTTAACTAATTACTGGTGTACAGAATAGTGTACCTAAACATGAATATCTGGGTGAGTACACTGGAGAATTGATCTCACATCGTGAAGCTGACAAACGTGGAAAGATTTACGATCGTGAAAATTCATCCTTCCTTTTTAACCTCAATGACCAGGTACTATAACTTAATTTATTTATATATAAAAGTGATTTGTTATATTTTTCCATAAAGCAAACATAATAATAGTATATTTTACTTATGAAATGCAGTACGTTCTTGATGCTTATCGAAAGGGCGATAAATTGAAGTTCGCTAATCATTCTCCTGTTCCAAATTGTTACGCAAAGGTATATATTTATTTATGATAAGGCGATTTTTGTGTTTTACAAATATTTATGATTATTTGGTTTGGTTAGGTGATAATGGTGGCGGGAGATCATAGAGTTGGAATATTCGCTAAAGAAAGAATAAGTGGTGGGGAAGAACTGTTTTATGATTACCGATACGAACCGGATAGGGCACCTGCCTGGGCCAAAAAACCGGAGTCATCATCCGCTACAAAAAAAGAGGAAACCGGTCCTTCTAGTGGCCGTGCAAAGAAGCTTGCTTGAATCATCATCATCATCATCATATGCTTACTAATTTTCTATCTCAAATGATTAACCCAATACTACACACAATTAAGTATTTTTGGGAATTAATTCTTTACAGAGTTGATACTTGATAGGGTGGTAAATTTTTTTTTTTTTTTTTTTTTTTTTTTTTTTTTTTTGTGGTTCCCATCCCCGGTGAATTAGACCCGGATCTGATATAGGTGAGTTTTGGGAAAAGTCTTGAACTTATAACTTGTAAGGGACACGTGTCTTTTTGACCAGCGTGTTATGTTGTGTTGTGGAGGTGTTTGGTTTGGTTTGGCTGGTTTTAACTTTTAAACAAAGGAAATAGACAATTTACAAAAGACCTAATTTTGGTTGCTTTCTTTCTTCTTCTTATTAGTTCTTACTTGCGCCTTAAAAAGGTAAAATAAAAAGAAGCGGGTTCTCTATCAAACATTTTTTTTTTTGGGTGAAATACCTTCTTGGTGATGAAATTTCAAGGTGTTAAAATAAATCTTGAATACACAAATTTGAATTTATTGCATCCTTGTGATCCACATATGCAGATCTTATAGATTCCTTGATATACATGTCATCCAACATGGTCTTTATGATCAAAACATCTATGCGACATTGACATGACATGGTGTCCATTTGTATTTTTGTTTACTTTTTTAACTTCTAAATTCTTAAAAATTAGGCTTTACCTAACATTTTATTTCAATTGTATTTTTTTAGTTACAATTTTATCAGATAGTCTTTTACCCTGATTCTCAATCTCCCAACTTGATCACAAATATAACAAGATGATTTTTATAAAAATGATGGCATGTCTTTGTAGTAAGTGGTTTTACTTCCCGGATATTGTCAACCTAAGGGCGTGTTTTGGTAGCGTGTATTTTAGTTGATTTTTTTAAAAAGTATTGTGTCAGTGTCACATAAATGTCATAAAACTGGTATTCATAATGCATAGTTTAACGAAATAGTTGAATAAGATGAAATCCTTAGTTAACATTCAAAGTATTTAGAGTTTAATGAAGTAAATGTTTATTGATTTTTGTAGTTGAATGTTCAATGAGAAAAAACAAGTTTTTTCTAATTATTTAAAAAAAAATATGCTATTGAATTTTATAGTTGAAGTTGTATGAAAGTCAATATGTCATATACACTATGGATTTTCTAATAAAATGTCACAATGGTCAAATACATCCAAAATCGTGTTTTTAAGGTCTAAATTATTGTTTTTTTGAACTAGCATACAAAGAAAATATAATTCTCAAATAATTATATAATGAAAATTTATCATTAATCAAAAAAATAATAACAATAAAAACTTACAACCAGATTCTCACAAATCCGAGAGATGCATGCATGCATGTGATTTTATTTGTTTGTTCATTAAATCCTTCAACAATAAGCTTAGCGGCTTTCCTTCCCATAATTTTGTCAGCATCAGTATGCAAACTAAACCAATAACCTCACCCTTCTCTATAACAGGCAATCGTGTACTTCTCCTGCATGCATAATTTAATTCATAAGATTATAGAAAAGGTTCATCAAAAAGTAATTAAGCCCAATATAAATTATTTGTTACAAACTAAACCTTGCACCATCTTCTGTAGGGCTTCCACATCAAGAGTATCAGACAAAACAAAAATCGGATTCCATGTCATCACCTTCGAGACAGGTGTGTTCACCAAATGATCAATCCCATGCATGATTAATAACTCTTGTTGCAATATCCTTCAAAACATCAAAAACACATGAACTTTATTCTAATCCGATCAATCAATCACAATGTAACATGGCTATATATCTGACGATTGATCAATACAATATTAAACCTCCTGTGCAATATGCCACTGAGTAACCCAATTGAGTCGATGAGTACAAGAAAATCAAAGTGCTCGCGTGCACAAAATGTGAAAGAGAAGCACCACGGCGGCGATAGGTTTCATTTCATCCCACTCACCGGTGCCAATGAGTAGTGGATTACTTGATTGCTCCGGTTGAGGTCGTACAGCTGATTGTTGTGGTGGTGGGATGGAAAATTCATCATCGGCTTCATAAGGATCGATGACGCGATATACAGAATTTTTTGTGTGCACGAATTGTGAAAGACTAGCACCACCACCACGGCGGCGATCGGTTTCATCCGACTCACCTGGAAGTGGGTTTCTTGAATGCATCAGGGGACGCACTGCTGTATAATGTTGCGGCGGTGGCATGAAAAAATCATGATAAACTAATTTATCCGCCGGAAACTGCTGTTGAGAGCTCGATCCTGATAAATCTGTTTGAATCGATTGCATCTTCAACGATTGCTGAGGGTTGACCATTTGGTTTTAAGCTCCGAGAGGCCCATGAGGAAGGAGGAGGGGTTGCATCGGGAAAAGAGTACATGGGGTTGCTTCTTAAATATTTACAAAAAAGTCCCTTGGCTTATTGGTTTTTCACATAAACTCCCCAAGAAATTCTCAAAGTTTGTCAAGAAAAAAAAGTAGAGTAAATTACATGAATGTTCCCTATGGTTTGGGGTAATTTACACGTTTGGTCCCTAATTTATTTTTTTAACTCGGAAAATCCCTAATGTTTGTTTTTGTTACGCGCTTGGTCCATACTGTTTGTTTTTGTTACACGATTAGTCCCTGTCTTACCTAAAAATACTATTATTTAAATAGAAAAAAATTATGGGATAGGTAAGGTAAGGTGAGGGAGGTTGGGGTTGGGGTGTGTTTATTTAAATATTTTAAAAAATCAAGTGAAAAATAGTTCTTTTAGATAAGACAGGAACCAAACGTATAACAAAAACAAACAGTAGGGACCTTCCAAGTTAAAAAATAAATTAAGAATCAAACATGCAAATTATCCTAAATTATAGGGACCATTCGTGTAATTTACTCAAAAAAAGTATGATTTGTGAACCCATTTGACGAGATATTCATTTTTGTTAAGTTTATATTAAAAATAATGGTACCTATAAGGTGCTGTTTTTAAGTCCTTGCAAAAAATGCTAGATATGGTATCTTCTTTCAACTTTATCAACTTTTATATAAAGAAAACGATGAGCCACTTAATATAAAAAACATTAGAAAATGTAAAGTAATTATTTATTAACAAATGTGAGTCATTATTTTCTTACAAAGCTTTCAAAGATAGCAAGTAAGTGGACTTGACAAGCAAATATGATATAGGTGACATTGTAAAATAATTTGAAATAAGTGTTGTGAACGGTCTAAATGAACAAAACATATCTTTTTATTCGTTAGATAAATGAACAAGCACAAACAATCGTTTCGTTCGTTCATTTATATTTACGAACATTCATGAACATTTGTTTATGTTTATACATATTAGCTATTTTTTAAGGAGATCTACTTAATGGCTTATTCATATATGTTCTTTCTTGATTTGGATTCTTATGTTCATTCTTTTATATGTTATTCTTGATTTGGTTGCGTACGTTTTATTTAGACCATACGTTGATATGCACTATACTATATACCGCGGTATAGTGCGGTATGCGGTAAACATTGCACCAACTGTGACATCTCCATTTTTCTCGGCCAGAAAAAATCGATTTAGTTTATGCTTTTAAAATAAAATCAGAGTAGTCTTCCAAAAAATATTGCGGAATTTGTCCCCAAAACAAAATATGATAAATTTTTTTTATTAAAACATTTCTTAAAGAAATGTATTTTCATTAAATAACAAAACATCGGGATGTCATGTTCCGATATAGACCAAAAGCATAAACAACATATTATAAGCCTTGCAACAGTTATTTACAACTACTGACCTATAATCCAAAAATCCTTCGTCATCCTCCAACTATGCTCAGGATCCACTACATGTAATATAAAAAGCTGAGCGGGTCAGACTTGGGAGCCTGGTGAACATATAGGTTTTCAACCTACAAATAATAATAAGTTTATTAATTTCATTAACCAACAATAAATTTATTAATTTCATCAACCAACAGTAACCCTGATTACCCGTTCCCGTTATCCTCACTTTACGTCCTTAAACACCTATCACAAGGGACCTAACCTAAGGATCATCATCGGGATGGACACTACTGCTAAGGGGATTACTCAACCATACATATCCTTAAGGCAACCATGAGGGGGATGGAGTACACCAATGAACATATAGTTCACCAACACCTACCTGCTCGCGTTCCACTGGACTATCTAGAAAAATCCATGATCGTCATCTATACTCCGCTAGATGACTATAACAACAACAACAATATCAATGCCTCTCATCATTTTAACACACACACCAACTATTTCATTTACCCATGTTATACCAAACATATTTGTAGATAAAAATACATATACAATTTAAATCAATTTAAAACCTGTATAAAACATTCATTCAACACCCATCTCAAATAAATAAACTATAAATATACACATAACACGTATTTTGTAGAAAACACTTCATATCTATATGTAAGATGAAAGTAACTACACACTCACATAATTTAACGATAATCGGGCAACACTGCGTTTCTTAAAACGATCGTTTCTGATGAAACCGGGAGCTTTAATGAGAACCGGGCCTTGCGAGGGTTGAGCTTCAAACCAAAAAGATAAAATTCTTGGGGGTCTTCGGGCACTTCGGGATGTTCTTTGGGTGTTAGGTAGGTTCCCGAGGCTTCGGGGGTTAAAAGTGGCTTAAAATAAAGTTTAGGGTGTAAAAGTGTGCAAAAATCCAACCAAAACGGGGAGGGTTCGCACCTCCCTTTATATAGAGCGAGGCTTCGGCTGAAGGGGGAAGGGAGAAGACACGCGACAACAGCGAGGGGGAGGCAGGCGGTAGCAGCGAAGGCGAGGTGGCAGGGCACGCGTTGGACAGGAGGCGAGGCTGAGACACGCGCCAGCTTCAGATTGGACCTCACTTCGGTCGAATCAGCAGACGGACACGGGGAAGGCTTGCATGCGAGGCGACATGGCTGATTCTGAGCCATGCATGCGAAATTTCTCGGATTTTATGCCCCAAACTTCAAAAATTCATAACTTTTGCATACGAGCTCCATTTTTGACAATCTTTATATGCACGCGTAGGTGAGATTATACTCTACGACTTTCGTTTAGACTCCGTTGTCTAATTTTGAATTTATTTTTAATATTATTATTTTTAACAGACCGGGACAGGAAAATTCGTTAAAAATTCATAACTTCTTCACCCGATATCCGTTTTCGTCTGTTTTTTTACCATTGTACTACTATTGAAGATACCTTCGATTTTTGTTTAGGTTGTGTTGGCTAAAAATCACTCGATCTAAAATTCAAGTTTTTAGCTGTCTACTGCTAAGCTGAAACTTAGAAAAATCATAACTTCCTCATACGAAGTCAGATTTGAGAATTCTTTTTTTGCACGCTCTCGGTTTAATGAACACTACGACTTTTATTTAGATCGCTAAGGCTAAAAAGCACTTTACCATAAATTCACTTTTTACGTCACACCACGTTATGCCAGTTCTGTCGCGAAACTTCAACAAGTTATAACTTCTTCGTTATAACTCGGATTTCGGTATTCTTTATATCTCCGGAATCCTTGTTTCAACCACTACAACTTTCTTCATAGATATCAGGTTCATCTAACATTTATTTTTGATGCTTATTTTTATCCTTAATTCATTAAATCATAATAATTAAGCATAAAACACATAATAATCAAATAATACATCTTTATTATTTCAAAACAAGTTACAAAGGTTGCCCTATACTATTACATCATCATTAGTGCCTAGCCTAGAAAAAAGGACGTTATAGTTCTCTCTCCCTTAGGATGATTCTGTCCCTGTAATCATACATTCGCAAAAAAATATGAATAACAACTCATCATGTCACTCTCTGTTTCCCAGGTGAAATTTGGCCCATTCGTATGTTTCCATCGCATAAGCACTAAATCAACCATCTTGCGTCGCAACTTCTTCGTCTTTCGATCAACGATTGCGTATGGTTCTTCGATTAACCTATTGCTTTCATCCAACCTTAATTCAGAAATTGGAATTATGTCGGGAACATCTCCCGTGAACTTCCTCAAATAACACACATGAAAAGTGTTATGAATACCATCTAGTTCTTCTGGTAATTTTAGCTTGTAAGCTTGGTTCCGAATCCTCTGAAGAACTTTAAACGGTCCAATAAACCTTGGACTCAATTTTCCCCTTTTACCAAATCTTATAAGTCCTTTCCACGATGAGATTTTAAGTAAAACCGAATCTCCAACTTCGAATGTTATCGGTTGTCTTTTCTTGTCAGCATAGATCTTTTGACGATCCTAAGCTGCTAACATTCTTTCCCTAATCACTTTTAGCTTTTAAGTAGTCTGATGAACCATCTCGGGTCCCATAAACTGCTTTTACCCAGCTTCAAGCCAACATGACGGCGTTCGACACTTTTATCCATACCAAGCTTGATAAGGTGTCATCTTGATGCTCGAGTGAAAACTATTGTTGTAGGAAAATTCTACTAGAGGAAAATGTTCATCCCAGTTACCTTAGAATTCAAGGGTACATGCTCGTAGCATATCCTTTAATGTTTGAATCGTTCGTTCGCTCTGACCATCAGTTTGCAGATGGTAGGCTATACTTAGATACAATTTCGTACCCGATTCCTCTTGTAGACTTCTTCAAAACCGTGATGTGAAACAACTATCATGATCCGATACAATCGTTAAAGGAACATTATGAACTTTCACTATCTCTTTTTGAAACATCCCAAAAATACAGTCTAAAAATTTCTTTTTAATTTAATAATAAAACCTTAGTCATCGAACATCATATAAAAATCATAAACAGTGTATCTCAAAATATCGTAACAATTGTCAAAATATCAAAGTATAAACATCCCAGGCTGAACAGATGGTGTGTGCACTACAATCTATCCGAGCTCGTCTTTTGAAACTGAGTACCTGAAACCAAAACTGAAACTATAAGCACGAAGCTTAGTGAGCTCCCCCAAAATACCACATACCATACAATAACATATAAAGCAACTACTGGGCCTTGCCCACTGCATCGGACAGAAGTACGGAAACTGCATCGGACCGAAGTCCGGAACTAACCAGGGCCTTGCCCTGTGCATCGGATCGTAGTCCATGTCACACCCCTAAACCAAGGATGGCGGAAACTTCCGGGGGCGGAGGACTTCATGTACAGTATCACAACAATGTGTATAATAGTGCTCAAAGTAAATACAACCATCATAAATATAATTGAAAAAGTTACACCAAAGTATATGTTTACATGTTTCAAAATCAATTACATTATGATGACAAAAATGAATTGTTGACGGTTTAACATCCCATCCTTAAAGCGCTGAAG